CTGCAGTTTGCCGGCCACGGGTCTAGACCTCTCCCCTAAACTCCAGACTAATGTATATTGCAATCCCTATTTAATGGCTCCACTTAGACGTTTAATAAGCATCTCAAAGTTGGCATGTCCACAGCTGAACTCCCAATCTACCCTCCAAAACCTGCCCTTCCATCAGTCTTTCCCATCTCAATGGAAGGCAACTCTCTCCTTGTGGCTCAGCTAAAAATCAGCACCATTTTTGACTTTTCTCCTTTCATTCACCATATCCAACCATCAGCAAATCCCAATATCTGTATCTTAGAGATGTATGCAGAAACTGACCATTTCTCAGATCTGCTACTGCTCCCATGCTGATCCAAAACACCTCCTCTTGCTCACCTGATTACTACAACAGCCTTCTGTCCCCTGATCCGCCCTTTCTTCCTTCAAGTCTATTTTCAGCACATCAGCCAGAGTGATCCTATCAAGCACATTCAGATCAAGTCACGTCCTCTGCTGAAAACACTCTCATAATTTCCCATCTCATTCACTTTTGAACCCCATTACATCTCTGACCTTACCTCCTACTCCTCTTCCCCTCATTCACTGTACCACAGATACAACAGCCACTTTGGCTCCTCTAGGACATACCAAACATGCTTCTGCCTCAGGGCCTTTGCACTAGATGTGCCCTTGGCCTTGAGTGCTTAGTCCTCAGATACCTGCATGGCTTGCTTCCTTATCTTCCTCAAGTATTCACTCAGACGCCTCCATCTGATGAAGCTTTCCAGAGCCACCATATTTAGAACTTCAACCCTCCACCTCCCTAGTATTCCATTTCCAGTGTCCCTGCTTATTTTCCTCCATAGCACATGAGAGCATCTTCAGTATTTACAATTTATTTATCTTTTTTCTTGTCTGACTCTCTCAGACAGACAATTCCATTCAGTGCTGTATCCCTGACACCTAGAACAGAACTTAGAACATACCAGATCAATACTTAATGATTAAAGGAATAACTGAATGAAGCCCAGAAAGGTTAAGCAACTTTCTCAGGGTCACATAGATTGTATGGGTCTGGAGACATCCAAGTCTACCTAAGGTTAGAGCCCAAGCTCTCATCCATCACACTAATCTGAGCAAAGGAAGAGAACTCTAAACTACACCCAAAGGCAGGCGTTTCTATCATCTCCTTTGTGTGCGTGTGTGTGTTTAATTTTTTTTATTGATTATTAGAGAAAGAAAGGAAGGGAGAGAGAGAGAGAAAACATCAATGTGAGAGAGAAATATGATCGGCTGCCTCCTGCACGCCACCTACTGGGGATCAAGCTGGCAACCTGGGCATGTGCCTTGACCGGGAATCAAACAGGCAACCTTTTGGTGCATGGGATAATGCCCAGCCAACTGAGCCACACCAGCCGGGGCAATCATCTCCTATGTTTTGACCTCCCAGAGCTGCACACTGCAGCAGGGCTAGGGCTGCCTTTGCTTCACTAAACAAGATTTCTTCTTTTCTGCTCAGTGGCGGGGATGCCGGGTGCCTGTGTGGGTTGAAGGGAAAGTCTTGGGCTTACCTGCCACTGCCATGGCAACCAGGTAACCTAAGGACGCCAGAAGCAAGTCCTTTCAGATTGAGAAGGGGAAAAATGAGGCAAGCCCAAAATAAACAAAGAAACCCGGAACGGAGAACTGACTGGGGCCTTGTGCCTGCCGCTTGCTGTGTCATTGGCAGCAAGGATAATCCATCCTGTTCTCTCCCTACCCTCCAGCTCAGCCATGGCCAAGGGCAGTAGATCACCTTGTCCTGCTTCCTGCTTCTAGCATGACCCCACTTAACCCATCCAAGGGCTCATGCTGTTCTCTTCAGCATCCCCAGGGATGGGTGCCCCAAAACACTCTCGGTGACCTCTTGATAACACAGAGGACAGTCCTGGCCAGAGGACAGTTAGGAGATCCATGTTCTGACCGCCTACCCGCCTCAGAGGGGCAGACTCTTAGTTCCTTAATCTCAGCTTCTCTCTGGGGCTCAGTTGACTTTTACTTAAAAATGACTCCCTTCCTTACCTATTTGATAGTAGAGAATCAAGTGGAACTGTAGTAAAACAAACAAACAAACAAAAAACACAACAAACTATGAAATTAAAGTCCTTAGGGAAATGCGAGGTGGAATTGCCATATTTTCACAAGAGGTCTTACTTGTACCAGGCACTGTGCCCAGCATTTTATGTACTTGATCTCACTCAATCCTTACAGCCACCCTTGAGAAGGTAAGAGCTGCCCACAATAGGAAGATGAGGAAATGCTGCTTCAGAGAGGTTAAGAAACTTGCCGAATTTTGCACAGCCAGTAAGTGACAAAGAGGCCTTCAAACCTAAGAAATCTATCTCCCAACACTATGCAATTCCCCCGTCCTGCACTGTGTCCAGTGGGGCCTGGGGGTTAGAGAAGAACTGATTTTTCTCACCCTAGTCATTCCCAGGACAGTCACTGGGCCCCAGAGCATCAAGCAGATCATCAGGGAAGTGTGTGGTGCCTTCCCATTTAGTAAGCCCCTTTGATCTGTGGAGTTTGCTGAGCTCACAGGACAGGATCATAATAATCCCCCAGCCCAAAGGCTGGAGCCTCAGGGGCTGGTCCTCTCTCACAGCCGGGTGCCCGTCCACAGGGTTCGCAGGAGCAGCCCCAATCCCAGAGGAAACAATTAGAGAATGATTAAGTGCCAAACTGTGGGTGATGATGCGGGAGAGGAAGCAAGTCTGTACACTGGTGGTGGGAGCCCAGGTGGGCCAGGAAGGGGTTGGGTCTGGAAAGGAGAAACCAGAGAAGAGACCGAAGGGTACAGGTGTGGGAGGGACAGCAGGGCCCAGGGTGCAGGAGGGGAAGGAGCAGAGGAGTGTGGTGGGAAACTCAAAGTCTGATGATGTCAGAGAGACCCAGCTTCACATCCTAGCCATGCCACGGCTGGCCAGGTGACCTTGGGTTGGTCATTTCCCTTTCTCTTCGATAGAGGTCCCTTCACATCGAGAGATGTTCACCACCTCAGTTTCTTCCTTCCTTCCTTCCTTCCTTCCTTTCTTTCTTCCTTTTTTTCTTTCTTTCTTTATTTCTTAATATTTTTATTTATTTCAAAGAGGAAGGGAGAAGAAGAAAGAGATAGAAACATCAATGATGAGAGAGAATCCCTGATTGACTGCCCCCTGCACACCCCACACTGGGGATTGAGCCCGCAGCCCGGGCATGTGCCCTGACTGGGAACAGAACCACAATCTCCTAGGTCGATGCTTAACCACTGAGCCACACTGGCTGGGCTCACCACCTCAGTTTTCATGTTCCACCATTTAACCTCTAACAGAGTTTCCTGAAAAGAACATCAAATCTAACCTGAATCTGTCTGGCTGCTGGCTCATTTCCACTTCTATTCTTGAGAAACACAGGCATGACCAGAGATGGTGAAGTGTCCAGGTTAAGGCCTCTTAGAGCCCTAAATACAAAAAGATATGGCTTTACTCCCAATATACATAAAAATATACTAAATAAAACTTGCATAAGTGCCAAGGTTAAAATAGCTTCTTTGCAGATTTATTTATTTATTTGGTAAAATTCTGGATTGCTTCCTCCATCAAAGTTAACCCTTTCTAACAGTTTGGGTGTCCTTGCTTTCCACTGTTTGTGGTGCCAAAAAAGTCCCTATTCTGCCAAAAGGGGTTGCACAGTCCTAAGGGAGAGTGGGGGACCGAAAGCTTCAGGGAAGCAGCACACCATTGACCTCTTGGCCCCACCGCCGGCACTGGGACTAGGTCATGCCCCCCCCCTCCCCTTCTCACATAAGTATGTTGAGGCTGGGTTGAGGGGGGGTGACTCCAGTGAGCCCTGAGGGTCCCACATCCAGAGCCACAACAGAGGGCGCAGGCCTTGTTCTCAGGGGTGGCCCAGCTCTCCTGTCTCGTGGCTGCAGCTTGAGGAGCAAGGGGTGCAGCCTTCACTGTCGCCTGGCACCATTTTCGGGGGCCGGTAGTAATGTCTCTTACCTGATCAGCAATTTGACATGGCTGCTTAACAACCGATTAATCAAACCCAGTTCGTCCTGTTAGAATAAATGAGCCTAGGAAATGCTGCCATGAATAATGAGGGTTTTTGTCTCTCATGCAGCACCTCTCCCCACTCCCTCCTATCTCCTTCCCAGAGACACACAACAGCTACTCCATACCAAGGATTTCTACCCCTCTTCCAGGTGCCCCTGCTGCCCACCCAGAGCCAGAGTTGGCCATGTCCTAGAGCAGCGGTTCTCAACCTGTGGGTCGCCAACCTGTGGGTTGCCAAACTGTGGGTCGCGGTCCCTTTGGGGTCGAACGACCCTTTCACAGGGATCGCCAAAGACCATCGGAAAACATATATATAATTATATATTGTTTTTGTGATTAATCACTTGCTTTAATTATGTTCAATTTGTAACAATGAAAATACATCTTGCATATCAGATATTTACATTTCGATTCATAACAGTAGCAAAATTACAGCTATGAAGTAGCAAGAAAAATAATTTTATGGTTTAGGGTCACCACAACATGAGGAACTGTATTAAAGGGTCGAGGCATTAGGAAGGTTGAGAACCAATGTCCTAGAGGAACAAAGCCTCTTGTCCATCAAACAGACATGTGTGCATGCACGCCCCTGCCAAAGCTGGATAGTGTCTGTTAAGGGCACTGTACTGGGTGCTAAGGACACAAAGATGAATAATATATTGTTCCCGTGAGGGGTAAGCGTGTATGACCACCTTTGGATGGCAGAAGGCTTCCATAGAAATCAACTCACTCATTTTCACAGCAACACTAGGACTCAGGCAGCACAGAGGCTAAAACTCCACTGAAGTGTCCTGGCCCCCACGGTGGAGAAGCTGGAGCCCAGGTCTCCTCTGTGGGGTCTGGTGCCTTCCAGCAAAGCCTGTGGCTTGGTTTCAGTGACGTGGTCTAGGCTACCCAGCCTACCAGCTTAATTCTGGGCCTCACCACCCTGTGCTTCTTGTCCTGCAGGGGGAGCTGCTGAGCCCATGCCGCTGTGATGGCTCCGTCAAGTGTACCCACCAGCCTTGCCTCATCAAGTGGATCAGCGAGCGCGGCTGCTGGAGCTGTGAGCTGTGCTACTACAAGTACCACGTCATTGCCATAAGCACAAAGAATCCTCTGCAGGTACCACGGGGGCTGCCCGCTGGCTGGGGGCGCTGGGGTGTTGGGACCCGGGCTTCCCACATCCCCTGCCTTCCTGGGGGAGGACCATTTCACCTTAGAGTCAGGGCAGTTTGGAGAAAAGAAATAAGGTAGGCTAGGTGGGCAAGACCACAGATGGCATTTGGGCAGGAGGAAATGAAAAAACGTTTGTGTATTTTTTTTAAGCCTCAGCAAGAAGAGGAGAAAGGAATGAGGCAAAGAGAGAAAAATAGATATAGAAGGAAAGAAGGGCAGAGTCAGATGGAAAAGAGAATAAGAGAGTGATGGACAGATGGATGGATAGATGATGGATGGATAGATGGATGGATGGATGGAAGCAGAAAGGAAAGGACAGGACAAAGAAGAAAGAAGGGGTGGGGGGAGAAGAAGAAAGGAAGGAATACCAGAGGACAGAAGAGAACAGAATGAGAAAAAGACAGAGGGTGGAAGGGGTGAGGAGAAAGCCTGAGATAAAGCTAAGGGCAAGAAAAGAGGAAAGAAGGTGAAAGGAGATTCAATGGCACTTTCCACCCTTTAATGTACATGCAATTCACCTGGAATTTTGTCAAAATGCAGACATGATTCAGGAGTCTGGGATGGGGCCTGAGATTCTGCATTTCTGATAAGCTATGGGTTGATGGGGTGGTATGGATGCTGCTGATCCACGAATCACACTTGGGTGACAGGGACCAGAGAAGAATGGAGAAGAGACAGGAGAGGGAGGCAGAGGGAAAGTGAAGAATGGGCAATAAGGAAGGAAGAGCCCTAGCTGGTTTTGCTCAGTGGATAGAGCATCGGCCTGCAGACTGAAGGATCCCAGGTTCAATTCTGGTCAAGGGCACATGCACAGGTTGTAGGCTCGATTCCACAGGGGGATGTGCAGGAGGCAGCCGACCAATGATTCTCTCTCATCATTGATGTTTCTATCTCTCTCTCCCTCTCTCTTCCTCTCTGAAATCAATAAAAATATATTTTAAAAAAATAAGGAAGGAAGAAAAGGGGAGAAGCTACTGTGAAGGGCAAGGGCAGGGAGGGGCAGGGCTGGGGTGGGGTCTACCAAGCAGATTTAGACAGGGCCGGACATGCAGGAACTGAGGGGTCCCCCACCCCATCCCCCCACCCTGCCCTGACACATCCATCTTCCCAGAGGAGCCAGCAGGCCCCAGGCCCTGCACCACCCCGTAAATCCTCCAACTCCAGCAGCTCTCCCTCTGAGCACGCACATATAGACAGTGCTTGGCTTCTGAAAATACCTCCGTGTGCACATGGTCAGCCGGTTAAGCTGCCAGGTCATCAGTTAGCCAGCAGGCTAGTGAGGGTGGGAACTGAGCATCTGCCCAGTGGTGTCACTCTCCTCCCTGAGGGGGAGGGGAGAGTGACCCTGTGAGCCCAGGAGGGTGCTGGTTTGGTGGTGATGGTGGGGTGGGGTTTCTGCAAGGGGCGGGGGCAGGTGGAAACCTGGAGCTGCCGTGTCCAAGGCGTTTTATGTTAGACACTATGCAGCTTACATGGGGCATTGCCAGGAATGAGTGTGTGTGTGTGTGTGTGTACCGGGGAGGGGGGCACTTTTTTCTGGAAGGAGACATTAAAAACCCCAGGCACCTCAGCCATCCTGATGGTGGAACAAGGGGTCAGAACAAGAGGTGCCCCCCTCTGTGCTTGTTCCATCTCCAGTCATTCGTTTCAAATCTTGCAGTGTCTTAAAATAGTAGTGTCGTGAGACAGCTGATTCCACACCCGCGTGCTGTAACTCTCCCCTTCCTCCTCTGCTAACTCAAGCCTTGAAGAAGGGTCAGGGTCCAAACCTACAAGTTTCCCCATGAGTGCCCCCTTGGCTCACTAGCAGGCATTGG